ATATATATATATATGCATGCATAAAGGTACACAGGTGAGTCTTGTGGTGTTCTTGCTTCTGTCTGCATTTTAATGCTAAATATAAATGCACTGCCTGTTTTCTGCTCCCTTCTGCCACTATGAGTAGTTAAAATAGGAATAGTTTACTATAATGTTAATCTCAGATAATGGCATTTTAACTCCTCTATTGAAAAATTATAAAACTTACCCTGTGGGCTCCATCCCTTGTGAACGATGGCTTCTGGCAGAAGATGGATCTTGGAACCTAAATCTGAACATGGACAGGATGCACTTGCATCACCTACTGTAGCTGCAAAAAAGCCAAGTCTCTGGGTGGACACATATCAGATGTAAAGGGTCTGTAGGCTGGTGCTGGGAAAAAAGCTAAGTGAGTACAGAGGTGGAAGGGATTATGGAATAAGAAGGTGGGTAATTGTCTACCCGCTGGTTGTTTTATTCATGCATTTATTCATATATGCATGCTTGCATCCATTCATTCATTTGATCCTTCTTTTATTCACCCATTGAACTGTTGTTTCTCCCATTTAAGCTTTTATTCTGTGCCAGGCACGAAATTAGCTCTGTGGATAAAATAGTAAGTAAGCCGCAAATGGTCCCTACCTTCATGGAGCTTATATTCTGGGAGAGAAGAGAGATACTGAATAAGCAATTGTAGGTGTAGGGAGTGTTAGGGGGATAGAAGCTCAAACCCCATTGTGACATAATAAGTGGAGCTTACCTAAAATGGATAGTGAGGACAAGTGTCCTAAAGACAGTCATGTCTAAGCTGATTTAAGAGGGTTAAGGAGTTAACCCTGCAAGCAAGGGTTGGGAAGCCAATAGAACATATATGCATAGGCCCTATTTTAAAAGAGATAATATCGTTCTTTCAACAAACTAAAACACCATCTCAAGAGACTGGGTTGCAGAGAGAGAGGTGGAGAGGCTAATGAGATGAACAGGGACTGTATAAAGTAGCCTGAAGAACCATGGGAATCAATTTCTCATTTTTCTCTACCCTCTCTGTGATTGGTTTGAGTGGGACCATTATACAGCTTTGTGGTTGCAGGGTGTACCCATCCGATGGTCTAAACCCAAGCAGGAAAGTGGTACCCTGCTCGCAGAAGATGAGGAAGGGAAAGTTCATAATCATGCTCTTTCTGAAGGAGAAAGACCCCTTGTAGTCACTTGATGATTTCTATGTATTGGAGCAGGAGAGAAGTATTTTGGGAACTTTCCAAACCATATCTCCAGTGTAAGGCCTGTTTCATCTCTGTATTGTGTGCATATTTTATGTATTCTCAGCCTTCTGAGGAAAACAAACAGTTCGCTCCCCTGGGCAGTGTGGCTGCAGGTGGGGACAAATGAAGCCTGGAATTGATCAGAACGCTGGGACACTCCATTAACGATCAGCAACCCCATGGCAGTTTATTGTGGTGGAGTACTGTCCGTGCGGCCCCTTTTATAGAACTTCATCCACAGCAGCTTCATTAATATGAGGGCTGCTGTGAAAATAGCTGGATGGTTATCGATCCCCTTTATTAGCCAGCGTTGGCTCAGATTTTCATAGCCTAGGCTGAGGAGGTGAGGACAGAGGGGGTGGAAGTGTTTAAAAGTGGAAATGGCTTTTAAGCAAGTTGTTGCTGTTCCATGAGCTGCGGCTGCTGCTGGGCCTCTTACTTAAAAAACAAAAACAAGGAGAAGCTCCTGTCATCACTGCCCTCACACCTCTCCTCCCTGCCTGTCTGTTCAGAACGCGCTCTCCTGGGGCACTCCGTGGCTTGGAGTATTTTGCAGAGAATGAAATGAACACCATTAATAACGAGTGGCATTATTAGGAGCAGCAGCCTTGTGCTGAGTTCTCCAGAACCAGTTCCTGGGTGTCGGCTTGGCAAGGAAGGCATGCACCAGCAAGGTGGGGAGGCAGAAGACAGGGGGCCATGCCTGACTGGGGAAAAGGCAATGAAGCTTCTGAGCTGGAAGCCCTGAGCTTTCTTTCCAGCTCTACCACTTGCTTATCCATGAGCCCAGGTCTTCTTATCTGTGAAATGGGCATCATAATATCGTTGAACATTACTGAGCCCGGTGCTGCTGGAGAACAATAAGGTTTAAGAAATTCCCCCACTCTTTTATGTTGCTGGAAGTGGCTCTCTGCAAAGAACCACTCTTCCCAGTGTGCCTCGCTAAGACACAGATGCCTGCCTATTTGCCTTTGACAAGACCAACTTCCCCTTCTTTGTCTCGTAAATGATTACCTGAACTCTTTGTCCCCACTGACCAATCTGGACAAAATGCTGGCTATTTTCACTCGATCAGACTTAGTCTGGCCTTTCACCTTCTCCCAAACCCATGAACTCTGCCCACTCTTGAGCAGATGCGAGCATTGAGGGCTTAAGCAGTCACTGGAACTCAGAACAACCCGTTAACAGCCCTTCTGAAAATCACCTGACGTGACAAAGCTTAAGGAAGGTGGTTTCCTGTCTAATGGCCCTCTCTGCTGCCACCTGCTCCCCCTTCTCCCCACACCCAGTTCTCTCTAGCTTCGTTTTATTTTCTAATCACTTCATAAAAGTAATTCTTTTCTGCCTTTACTCTTGAGGGACTTTAGATATGACAGCCAGACTGTTCCCCCTTTTGCAATAGCCTTTGCAAGTAAAGTCTCTCCCTACCTAAGTCTGGGTTTGCTTTTAGTTGACAGTAGAATATGTTTAATCCCATTTTGAATAATAAAAGAGAGGAGAGGGAAATATGCTTGAGAAAATTTATTATAATGATAATGATGGTGATATTAACCTTTTCCTTAATTTCCTTAGGACAGTTTTCCTTAATGTTTACATTTCCCCAAATACTGATTTATCCTTCTTTGCTCCCTCACAGCCATACTTCTTAAAATGTTATCTGTAATTCTTATCTCTTTGGTTGCTTCTTATCCACCCTTCCATCCACTGCCAGATGCCCTGTGCTCTCCCACAGCCCTCTCTCCACTATTCCACCAAAAATCCTTTGGCCATTGTTACCAGAGACCACCTCCACACCAAATCCAATAGACATTTGTATAACTCTTTTTTTTTTTTTTTTTTTTTTTTTTTTTTTTTTTTTTTTTTTTTTTTTTTTTTAACCACTCTGGAGCATTTGACAGTGTTAAAAAAAAAAATCCATACCTGATAATCTTCCCTTTGGAATATTTTATTCTGATTTCCTTTTCTGGATCCCCTTCCCTTGCCACCCATTAAATGTTGATCATCCTAAGTTCTCCTGGTATTCTGCATGGTTCCTTGGTGACCTCATCACTTCTCTTCATATTGGTGACATCTGTATACACAGCCCCATCCCATATCCACTGAACCCTAGACTGTATCTCCAACTGCCTATTTGAAGTACCTCCCCTAAATGATCTCATTGTAAAAATCTGGAACTGAGCTCAGAGTCTCTATATGATATCCCTAATATTTCATCCTTCTCCTCTGTTTACTTAGTCCATCTAAACTTTCATTGGTTATCTACCGTGTGCT